CTTGAGTGATGAGTGATATTCCTGTGAGGGCTTACTTATTTAGTTTTCTCAATTTTCAGACAGGGGTGCTATCTTATTAATTGCAGGGTGCTTCAGATTGTTGTTCATGATATGTTGTGAGTTTTGGGAATTTCATTTTATAATTTACTTCACAAATAATATTTTTGCTTGGGGACAAGCAAATGTTTTAGTGTGGGGGAATTTGATAGACATATTTTACACTCTTATTTTACGTACATCTTTATAATAATTTTGCATTAATTATTTAGTATTATCTAATAATTAGATCATTTTATATATAATATATAATATATAATATATTTATACATATTATTTATAATTAGTTCATGTTACGTACTAGTATATACATATGCATTATATATATTATTTAAATAAGTTTCCAAACTCAAATCAACCTAGCATACATGCAAGTAATATGTTAAACCTTTACTTTATTGTTTCTTCCCCTACGCAGCACATGTATGAAGCAACGAAATAAAAGGATGAAGACCAATTCTGTAGTTCGAGCGAAGCTTGTCCGAAGATTCATCATGGCGCAAACATAGGAAGTTAGTGGAAGAAAATAAATCAAGAATTGTATAAATAGTAAAAGAATTTCATTTGTTGAATGTTTATTCTTCCCCTCTCGACTATTTTCTAAGGTTGTTATCAATGTCCATTCGTGGCTAATTTCTTTTAATTTGGTTTAGTAAATTGAAGCCCCGGATTCATTACGCTGTAAGATTATTTATTTATTTTATTATATAATTTTTATGCATTTGGGTATTAAATATTCTTCTAAGTTATTTGATATAATTATTTGCTATATTAGATGTTGTGCTACAAATTATTCTAATATTCAGTAGCAACTGAGGTTAATTATTGACGGCTTAGTGATAATTGATTTCAGGAAGAATATTTTCCTAAATTAAATGCAACCGCTTGTGCTTGTGTTATTTAGTTTGTCGATTTTCCTAGTTCCTATTGCTGCTATTAAATTAAATCTATAGCGCTTGTCTTAGGTTATTTAGTAGTTAGGGGTAATTAAACCGCTTGTGCTTTATTTACCTACAACTAAGGGAAAACAGAAATGAAATAATTTCACGACAAATATTCAGCTACATAATAATTACTTTATTAATCAATGATCAGTGTTAAATTCCGGTGGTGGATCTTTACTAACCAAGGTTTTCTATTATAAGTGCTTTCAATATATTATTTTCGTTGCTTTATTCGATTCATTTAATCTCTTGTTTATTTAAATTCTCTTTTATTTAATCTTTATTCTCATCAAATTCCAAACCCCCCTACCTTTAATTGAGCACAAAAGTTAAACTAGTTACTCCTCGTGGGATCGATCCTTACTTCCGCTACTACGTTTGTAAGGTTTTAATTTGGGAGCCTACGACAGCTCACCAATATATATAACATTCAGTATATCATAATTGTGAGTATTATTGTTATTAATTGTATTTAATTTATATAACCTATGTTAGTTTTCTATGGCTAGAATAAGTCTACTGTCTGTATCCTATTAGATAGGAGTAGTTAGAAGTAGACTGAGATATACTCTCGTGTAATCCTATCTGTTGGTTAATTGAATTAAATCTCTGAGTTCTCATTTGGTATCAGCCTAAACAACGATCCTCCACCACCCAAACGTTTCCCCCTCCCTACCCATGTCGTCAGGTTCTTCCGACCGTACCCCCTCTGCCGCCGGCGGGCCATCTCCGGCGAGTTCCAACCCCCTCGCCGGAGCTCACCATTTTATTTCTATGAAACTAACCTCTAGGAATTTCCTATTTTGGAGAACTCAGTTATTACCATTCCTTAGAGGTCAAGATTTAATTGGTTTTGTGGATGGAACCAACCCATGCCCGCCCGCCACTCTCACCACCGTGTCTGGCGATTCCGGCACCGGCACCACGACTACGACTACCGTTCCCAATCCGGCGTATAAGTCATGGACGTTACAGGATCAATCGATCCTTCCATTGTTGATATCCTCGATGTCGGACGAGGTTTTGCATCTCGCGGTTGGTCGGGATACCGCTGCTGATGTTTGGCGATCAATCTGCACCGCCCTCGGCTCCAACACGCAAGCTCGTTGCCTGAGCTTGCTGGGGCAGTTTCAAGCCCTCCGACAAGGTAACTCCACCCCGGGCGATTATCTCGACCGAGCCGAGCTTTTGGTGGAAGCACTCGCGCAAGCCGGACAACCTCTCTCCATGGCCGAACAAAATCTATATGTTCTGCGTGGTCTGAGGCCGGAGTATCGCGTGTACGCGGCGTCCCTTACCGCTCATGCGCCTGTCTCGCTGCCACACCTTGCTGATCATCTCCAGGCCGCTGATTTCATCTTGGCGGACGATTTTCCGGAGACTGGCAGTGCAGCGCTAGCTGCTTTTTATTCTGGTCGAGGTCGCGGAGGACGCCCCCAGTCCAGCGGCTTCGCTCCGAGCAGTGCAGAAGGTGGCGGTGGTCGGCAGTCCCAGTGGCGAGGCGGCAGAGGCGGCAGAAATCAGAGGGGTGGCCGAAATCAACGCGGGGTCCCACGATGCCAAATTTGCAGGGCGCAGGGTCATACTGCCGTTTACTGTTATAAACGGTACACGACTCAACCGCCCACGCAGGCCAATGTTGCAGTGTCCGGCGAGGCCCCGGGCACATCCGTCTCGGCCGAAACATGGTATCCTGACACGGGTGCCACGGCTCATGCCACCCCAGATGGCGGCATGATAACAGCCCCGGAGGAGTATAATGGTCCGGATACGCTCCGGGTGGGAAACGGTACAGGTTTAGTTATCTCACATGTTGGCCATGCATCAATCCCCACTGTTTCCAAACAATTATTCCTATCTGATGTATTACATGTCCCAAAATTAACTGTTCCTTTATTGTCCGTTCAAAAATTCGCTAAAGAAAATAGTGTATTTTTTGAATTTCATGACAGCTACTTTATTGTGAAGGATTCCAAAACCCAGGTGGCGCTTCTTAAAGGCCCGACTTCTGGAGGTCTGTACAAGCTTCCTGTGTCTCGGAGTCAATTTGCGTTCGTCAGTTCCCGGGCAACACCCACAACCTGGCATGCCAGACTTGGTCACCCGCATAGCCTTGTGCAAAATAAAATATTACAGCATTGTTCAGTTTCTCATGATAAAAGTAGTTTCGGGTCTTGTAAGGCTTGCCATCTTGGTAAGTCCTCTCGTTTTCAATTAGATAGGATAAGTGAGTCCAGCAAAAATGTACTAGATTTGGTGTATACAGACATCTGGGGTCCTGCACCAGTTGTCTCGTCTAGCGGTTACCGCTATTTCCTTTTGTTTGTTGACGATCATTCACGCTATTGCTGGTTTTATCCATTAAGGGTAAAATCAGACATTTATAAAATGTTTGATCTGTTTCGTGTGTTGGTAGAGCGACAGTTCTCGCGCTCTATCAAGTCTATACAGTCAGATCTAGGGGGTGAGTACCGCAAATTGCATACCACATTGCAAACCCTTGGGATTAATCATCGCCAATCATGTGCTTACACGCATGAACAAAATGGGAGGGTTGAGCGCCGTAACCGACACATTGTCGAAACGGGCTTGGCTCTTTTCGCCCAGTCAGCTGTCCCACAACACTACTGGGATCATGCGTTTGAAACAGCCGCATGCCTAATAAATTACCTACCTTCTTCAGCCTTACAGTTCGAGAGTCCATATTACCGACTATACAAAAAGTTACCCCCATATCAATTTCTCCGTGTCTTCGGATGCTTGTGTTACCCACACCTAAGGCCTTACAACCGTCATAAAATAGAGTTTCGTTCAACACCTTGTGTATTCCTGGGGTATCCTCCCTCCTTCCGAGGATATAGATGCATGGACTTAACTAGTGGGAAGACTTATATCTGTCGCCACGTGCGGTTTGACGAGTCTACTTTTCCCTTTGCCACAGGTTCATCACCACAAGCAGTTGAGCCTCAGCCAATACCTTAGGCAGCTAGTCCCGTAATACCTGGTCACATTGGCCAAGCGGTCAGTGCCAACACTCCTACACCGCATGACGTCGACCCCCAGCAAAAAGCTCAAGAAATACCGCCATTGGCCATTGAGCCCGCTGTCCCGGTTTCTCGGGGACGGGGCCGGCCTCGGGGTCGGGGTCGGGGACGGGCACAGCTGCAAGAACGGGAACATGGTATGCGTCTACGTCGCATGACACACGGGACTCATGAAGAGTTTCATGCTTTGACTGCAATCACCACTGATCCAACTTGTTACTCCCAAGCAGTTGGACATCCACAGTGGCGGGATGCGATGGATCAGGAATTTAATGCCTTACTGCATAACAACACCTGGCGCTTAGTCCCACCGGATCCTACGATGAACATAATAGGATGTAAGTGGGTATTCCGCACCAAGCGTACCGCGGATGGCTCTATAGAACGGTACAAGGCTCGCCTTGTGGCGAAAGGGTTTAATCAGGTAGCAGGGGAAGACTTCTTCGACACCTACAGTCCAGTAGTCAAACCCACAACTGTAAGGCTTCTTTTCTCGTTGGCCATCACCCATAAATGGACCCTCCGGCAGCTGGATGTGCACAACGCTTTTTTAAATGGTCATCTAGTCGAAACAGTGTATATGAATCAACCTCCCGGTTACGAGGACCCGGCTCATCCCGATCATGTTTGTCACTTGCAACGATCTCTCTACGGACTGAAACAGGCTCCCCGGGCATGGTTCAAAAGACTGCACGACTTCTTACTTACCACGGGGTTCAGTGCATCGAAGACGGATGTTTCTCTGTTCTACTACAGCTTGGATAGGTGTCAGGTTTTCCTCCTTGTGTATGTAGATGACATAATCATGATGGAGAGTAGCGCGACATTAGTCAACTCTCTGTTATGCCGACTTGCTACTGCGTTCAAGATCAGAGATCTTGGCAAGCCAGGGTTTTTCTTAGGCATTGAGACCGTGGATACTCAAGGCGGTATGGTTCTATCCTAGCGACGTTATATGTCTGATCTATTGAACCGAGCTGGTATGGTTGACTGCAAGCAACTCGCAACACCTGCATCCACGACACAGTCTGTTACTCCGTCTGATGAGCCGTTCGATAATCCCACACAATACCGTCGGATTGTAGGGGCTTTGCAGTACCTCACCATTTCTCGTCCTAACCTCTCATACGCAGTGAATCGGTTGTGTCAGTTTATGCATACGCAAACCGTTGATCACTGGGGCATGGTAAAACGGGTGTTACGGTATATTAAGGGCACTTTGGATTATGGACTCCGTCTCAGTTCTTCCCCGACTACTGCCATACATGCCTACTCCGACTCGGATTGGGCTGGCTGCCCTATTGACAGGAAGAGTACTAGCGGATATGCAGTGTTCTTAGGGAATAATCTCGTCTCATGGTTATCCAGGAAGCAACGGACTGTCGCTCGTTCTTCGACCGAAGCCGAATATAAGGCCCTAGCCGATGTCGCTGCGGAAGTAACTTGGGTCGTCTCTCTTCTCCGTGAGCTGGGTCTACACACGGGGCAGCCGTCCACTCTCTGGTGTGACAATTTAGGCGCAACATATCTATGTGCTAATCCAGTTTTTTCACGCCAGGACGAAGCATGTCGAAATCGACTATCATTTCGTCCGTGATAAGGTGGCCAGCGGGGACTTTGTGGTCAATTTTGTTTCGACTAAAGATCAGCTGGCTGATGTCTTCACCAAGCCGCTGCCCGGGCCCAGGTTTATAGCTCTGCGAGACAAGCTCAACGTTGTGCAGCTCACACCGTGTGCTTGAGGGGGTGTGTGAGTATTATTGTTATTAATTGTATTTAATTTATATAACCTATGTTAGTTTTCTATGGCTAGAATAAGTCTACTGTCTGTATCCTATTAGATAGGAGTAGTTAGAAGTAGACTGAGATATACTCTCGTGTAATCCTATCTGTTGGTTAATTGAATTGAATCTCTGAGTTCTCATTATAATCATATTCATTATTATTATTATTATTATTATTATTATTATTATTATTATTATTATTATTATTATTATTATTATTTTGTATAAGGGTATTTATGTCTTTAAAACCTATTCCATTTCTATTCCTTTAATCAACTAAACACTGGAATACAATTACTAAAGTCTATTCCTTCAGCCAACCAAACAACATAATACAATTCATATTCTATTCCTTACCTATTCCATTCCCTGTGGAATAGCATTTCTATTCCCTCCAAATTCATTCCGTGAACCAAACGTGCTGGAAATGTTATACCATTCCCGGCCTATTCCGTGAACCAAACGGGCCATTTTAGGGTAATATAGTTCATTCCTAAGTACGTATAACTTTTCCTGAGTATTATCAAAATCTAAAATACAACGTTCCTATTAATTTCCTCCTTTTTTTTTTTTAATGATGCCAAAAACCTATACCCTTGATTTAAATACACTTTGTCAATTTTAACTTTTCCATTGATTTTTAATTAGGGCATAATTTGAGTTTAACACTTAGATATATAATTCATAGAGTAAACATAAGTAAACTTTAAGTAAAATAGAATGAACTTTCCACTAGATAATTAGACTATTACAAGTAAAAGAAACAATCGTCGTTAAATTTTAACAAATCACTTATTTTTGGTGTGTTCAAAATAAAATGAAATTACTAAAACGAAATTGAATAATTTGTCTTGCATATTTTGTTTATAGAGTAAAAGACAGTTTTGATCCTAGACTTATAGTGGCACGGACAATTTTGGTCCTTAAACAAATCAGACAATTTGTGGACACTCTTATTGTGGCACAGACAATTTTAGTCCTTCTTAAAAAAAATCAGACAATTTGTGAACACTCTTATGGTGACGAGGACAATTTTAGTCCTCCTTCAATATTCCCGTTAAATGCCCTGTTTGAGAGGGGGTAATTTCGTCAATCTTCTTCGAGTTCTTCCCATACTTCTCAGCAATTGCTCTTTCAATTTCAGAGTCGTACTTCTCAGCAATTGCTCTTTCAATTTCAGAGTCGTACTTCTCAGCAATTTCTCTTTCAATTTCAGAGGGGATAATTTCGTCAATCTTCTTCGAGTACCCTTCTTATCTCTGTTCCCCTTCCACTTCTCCAACCTAGACAAAACCGCTGCCTCGATTCCCTTCTCATCCTTGTCTTTACCACTGTCCTCCTTAACAGTCAAGAAGTCTCTACACTGATATGTTAGGTGCCCAACTCGCCCACACTTCTTGCATGCCCCACGAGCCTCGATCATCAGCATTAGAAATCAAAATTGACGACAAAGTTCAAACCGATGGAAAAATTAGCAGGAACCGAATCAGAAAACTGAAATACATATTGAAATAAACTACGGAATATAATAGATAAATTGCTAACGAAATTTGAATTAAAATGCAAAGAAGAAGGCATTAGAGAGAATTAAAATCCTAGGGTTCGATGTGATAATTGGATTTCCATAGCTAACGCGTAATTTATAGCTAAAAAATAAAAATTAGAATACTTTGGCTGACAAGTAAACTGAGAGAGTTGTGATGAGATGAATCGACTATGATGATCAAACGTCGAAACACGAGAGCGAAGGAGATGACGAAGAACTGATGAGGAAGAAGATTGAACTCGAAGCACAGATGTGTAGAGTGAACTCGAACAAGATTGACGAAATCAGACAATTGAAAAGACGAAATTACCCCCTCTCAAACGGGGCATCTAACGGAAATATTGACGGAGGACTAAAATTGTCCTCATCACAATAACAGTGTCCATAAATTGTCTAATTTTTTTAAGGAGGACTAAAATTGTCCGTGCCACTATAAGTCTAGGACCAAAAATATCTTTTACTCTTGTTTATATTATCAAATGAAACTATAGTTGAATTGAAATGATATTTTAGTTTTCCGGAAATGAAACTACAATATGTATAAAAAGAAATTGAATAACATGTCTCACATATTAATTGTATATTGTCAAATGAAACTATAGTTATATCAAAATGATACTTTAGTTGTGTTGAAATGAATCTGCAGTGTATATAAAATAAAACTGAATTGCAGTTTCACATATTTGAAAGTATATTGTCCAATGTAATCATAGCTGAACTAAGTTATAATTTAGTTATTGTAATAAGACTACAATCTGTATAAAATGAAATTCAATAACAGGTCTCACTAGCTCCTGTATGTATAATGTCAAATGAAATTGTAGTTGAAACAAAATGAAACTTTAATTGGGCTGAAATGAAACTACAATGTACATAAAATGAAACACAATATGTTATACAAACAGAACTAGTTACACGGAACATGTGCCGTTTCTTTTCATTAAAAGAAATAACACCGTTTTGGACCATGGTCACACTGTTATGTAAAATTTGCCGTGTATTATAGTTATGCGCTGAAATATTTATGGCAAATTATGCCCTGGACCCGTGTCCACAATTCATTGTGGACACGGGCCCAAAACGACGTCGTTTTTCAAAAAAAACGCGTCATTTAGTTAAAAAAAAAAATCGCGCGTGTTTTGCCGTTAACGGCGTTATTTTTTTTTTTTTTTGGATTATGAATGTACAATTATGACGTTATGAATGTACAGTTATGCCGTTATGAATGTACAGTTATACAATTATGAAATTATGAACACAGAACTCTAACATTATGAACTTACAATTATGAACATAAAATGATAAAGTTATGACCATGGAGCTTTAAAATTGTGAATATAGAGCTTCGAAGATTATGAATGTACAGTTATGGAGTTATGAATGTACAGTTATAGAGTTATGAATCTACAGTTATGGAGTTATGAATCTACAGTTATGGAATTATGAATGTACAGTTATTGATCGAATTATGAACAAAGAGCTCTGACATTATGAACTTACAATTATGAACATATAGTGATAAAATTATGAAGATAGAGCTCTAAAATTGTGAACATAGAGCTTCGAAAATTATGAATGTACAATTATGGAGTTATGAATGTACAGTTATGGAGTTATGAATGTACAGTTATGGAGTTATGAATGTACAATTATAGAGTTATGAACGTACAGTTATGGAGTTATGAATGTACAGTTATTAACATATAGTAATAAAATTATGAACATATAATCCTATAACAAAGCGGTCTGAAATTTAAAAGTGAATGTGAAAGTGCTTTCAAAAATCAAACAATATTCTCTGAATAGAAAACTTCCAAAAAAAACACAGTTTGATTTGACAGAAAACTTCAACAGCATGTTTCTAAAATATTCTTATCCTTGGTGAACTTGAGGCATTTCATCAAATGGAAAGAACAAACAAATTGACAATGAATGGCGAACATCATAATAGAGAGGGCTAGTCCGAGTCAGTGGAAGCATCATTGTGAGAATCCGAGGTGCGGTTGTTGGCAAGAATTCGAGCCATCCCTTCCAATCGTGCTATTTCATTCAAGTGGGTACCCAAGAGATTCTCCAGACCAGTAATGGTAGCCTGAAGAGAAGCTGCAATCTGCCTATGAGAAGCCAGTAGTGTTGAAGGATCCTCAAACTGAACGGGAAAGACCCGGGCCTGAGAGGAAGCCATCGCGGGGGCTGCTGGACCACTCGGCCGAAGCAATGATTTTCCACGCACTATTGCCTCGTCTTTCCAATTTCTTGGCTGTGGTGTTGACCATTTTCTCTGAAATCCAAACCAAACATACATACATACATATATACTCAAATTAAGACAAAAAGCTAAGATTTCATCACTTATACTTGTTCAAATCCTATACCTTTGGCTGCTGGGTGTCATCATTGAGCAGCTTTGGGTTGTGTTTTGGTGGTTCCACAGCTTTCCCAGACACAACTTCTAAAATGGTAGGAAGTTCATTTATCATATTGAAAAGACGAGTCCTGTAACAGCAGATTGATAGAGCAATGAAAATTTATCAAATTACTTCATTCAATTCTTTCCCTTTTCAATATATCAAAAACATACTTATCAGCTTTGTCATGGCCAAGACTTGAACTAAAAGAGAATGCAACAGCAAGTAGCCATATGTCACTGTGAATTGCAAGCATAGTGAGCCACTCCCTTTTCTCCATTCTTTCTCGAGCAAAGTTAATGCCGCTATGGGGTTGAGGAAGCTCTCCATGCATTCCTCTTCCTGCAAAATTCACTTCCCATTCTTCACCTGGATGTCCCATAAGGAAAAGCTTCCCATTCCGACCTGCAATTACAACCCCAAACTTAACACATTTCAATTCTTTCCATCCATCCATGCATTATATATATATATATATATATATATATATATATATATATATATATATATATATATATATATATATATATATATATATATATATATATATATATATATATAAAAGGAATTATCATATATACGCAAATCTGAAGAGCCTGGCTAATTACTGAAAAATATAATCAAGAACGTGAATGTTTGTTCATCAAGAAAAGAAAAGATTATTTCAAAGAACATATATATATAGCATGTATATATATATCTTGCACAAGAAGAGAAAAAAGAAAGCTTTACCTGGGATGTCACACCGCCTATAAACTTCATCAAAATCTGGAAAAACGCATAAAGATCGAAAAACCTCATTCAATTCCTTTATTAAGTAAAAATGGTTTCTTTTGATTAAAGTATGTAATTAAACATGCAATATGGAGCAGTAATTAAGTACCTGTAGTGAGAGCTGTGAGTAAGGCAGTCCTTCGACCCTTGAATTCTTTGAAAACTTCTTCCACGTTTCTTGGATTATAATGCTCCATTGCCCTCTACCGCTTCTGATCTGTTTGGGTGTTTATATACAGAAACGTATACAATACGAGAGAGAGACACACAGAGTTCTAAAAAAGACAAGTGTTTTGGGAGGGAAATAGAAAATTTGACCTTATAAGGATCAGAGCACCTGCATGGAGAGGGACTTTAATTTTAAAAAAGAGAAGTATTTTTCCCCAATCAAGTTTGTTGGGTTGTTAATTAACTTGATAACCACAAAATTTTAAGTTTAATTTTCATTGGGAGCGGTCTATTGATCTTCTATCTCTGAGACCACTACTTTGGGGACAAAAAACATATCAAAACTATGTCATTCTTTTATTGATTTAGAAGAGATATATAGAGTTGTGATAGGTTACATAGACGTGAGGTAAGGTTAAAAATCAATTGTTATACAGTTATACTACGGACCACGAAATTCAAATTATGTATATGTAGTGAACATATTATAGAATACACCTTCAATTAATAAATTATGTACTTTCAGTTCATAAATTATGTATATAATATTATTTAACACATTATGTATCTTCAGTTTATTGACATGTACATACTATGTTAACTAAATGTACACAATTTCAATTTCGTTTCAGACCAGGGTATACATTATGAAACTTACATTCTCCTCCCTAGTCACACAGTATGTCACCATGGAGGTTAATGGTGTAATAAGGAGCTGAAAATTATGGATTGTAGAGTTACAGCTGCAAAGTAGATGTTTTTAGAAAGATGATTTATAACTAAAGAGGGAATGGATGATACAAAGGATTTTGGATTTCAATACTTATATGCACACCCTCCTACTCTATGTGGTGGGTGTCTCGTTAGAAATCTAATTTGGTACTACATATTTAGGAGCGTTATGATGTGGAACCATGCCCACCTTGTAAGGTGGGCATGGTTGTAGATTCATAATTTCTATATTGTAAATTCATAAAATATATACTGTAGATTTATAATTTCTAAATCGTAGATTCATAATTTAAATACAGTAGATTCATAATTTCTATACTGCAGATTCATAATTTATGTACTGTAGATTCATAATTTATGTACTGTAAATTCATATTTTTTAAACTGTATAGTTATCAAATTATGAACATATAGTTATGTGATTTGTGAATACAAAGTTCTATAATTGGATATATGAACATCGAAAATTATGAACATATAGCTCTATAATTAAAATAAAATTTTTGAGACCTAATTTTCTAACTTGTTTGGTATCATCAAAATCAAAACCTATATATACTCATTTCTTCTGGTTGATTTAAATAAACTTTGTACATTTTAACTTTTTCATTAATTTTTAGCGCATAATTTGAGTTTAACACTTAGATAATTCCTAGAGTAAACATAAGTAAACTTTAAGTAAAATAGAATGAACTTTCCACTAGATAATCAGACTATTACAAGTACAAGTTGATTGTTGGTGTATAAATGATACACATTAAAACTCTTTTATATTGATTAATTTAATTGTCAAAATAATTAGAATTTATTTTAAAATTATTATATGAACCATGGACCATCATCTATCAAAAGTGTGAACATGGTACAGAGTAAATCAATTGAAAGCCTTCAAGCAATTGGTCCGTAATGCTATTCAGAATTGAAGATGGTATATATATGGTCTTGATTAATTAGTGTAGCTAATTAAGTGATTATGCATGGTATTTTTTGTGGCGTTGGAATTGCATGTGAAATGAAAAAGGAGTGGTGTGCATTAAATTGAATAGGAAAAGTAAGGAATGGCTGAAAGTTGAAAGTGGCGTATGAATAGCATCTTCTTTTAGAAAGTTTAGGGCTTTTGGATTTATTATATAAAGCATGGAGTTCTTCTACAGATTGCTGAATCGTCTTGAGATAATATAGAGGAAACTTTCCAAATTGATTACTTGGTTAAATATTCATTCATCATCTATTATGTTCTACTGATTGGAGTTGGCTCAGATTGGTTTCAACGGTTCAGAGGTCACTACAACAGCGAGTATAGCTTGTACGTACCAATCTCAAGATAGATGTTGTAAAGAGTAGTTTGTGTAGCTGTGAGCTTATTGTCAGGAACAAGTGTAATTAGATTTTGATGATACCAAACTGTTTAGGATTGTAAACCCTTACTTTTCTTTTCATAAGATAGGTCTCTTGTGACAAACGAGAGTTATTGTAACTCAACGATTGATTCACATCATAAAGTGTACGAATCCTTCTTGAGTCTAGAATAATAGGTCTACATAAAGACATGAAGGTGACAAGGTGATCGAAAGCTGCTTCCAGGCGAAAGATGGATTGAGCAAGTCTCGGATAGACCTCTTTTGACAAAAAGGATCTCTTGTCAAAGAGAAAGGACGAAAGATAAAGTCAATCTTTCGACCAACGTCTCCGAGTGAACAAGTCAAAAGACAGACTTGTAGAAGACAACCTTCAATTCATTTAAGTGAAGCAATGAGAATGTTGTCTATGACTCAGATGGACAAATCATTCGGACAAAAAGTGTCCTGGGAATGATCTTCACAAAAGACAAGAAGCATTAATAGATTTGTACCATCTTGTTAGAGAACAAGGACAAAAGTCATGATACTTTTGGCTCCAACAGCTACATAGTACAAGTGCATTAAATGCTGATGCCCGCTAGTTAATACACACTGGTTATTAGGTTTGAAATCTTCATCTCTCTCCAACGGATGAATTTTTCCACCTATAAATACCTCTCTTCGTCATTGAAGAAGGTGCTGGTTATTCTACTCTTACTATCAAAAGAAAAGCTCTTCAAACAGTTATTCATCTCTCAAAAGCTTTTCACAACCAGTGTTTATGTGAAGTTTTTCAAAAAGCTCATCCATCTCCATACTTCACAACTTAAGAAGTCTTGCATTTTTTCAAGCGAAGATCCATTCAGACATCAAGACAAGACTTCAACCAGTTGGAGAAACACCAGACTATCTTTCCAACATCTCAATTTAGGAAGAAGTTGAGAGAGGCGGAGTAAACTCGTGGAGTTGAAAAACCTATCAAGTGATTGTCCAGCTTAGTCATCAAGAAAGCTAGTTTGAAGTAGTTTGTACTATGAGTGATAGTGCAAACCATTTCACAAGTTGTGAAAGAAGAGTGGAGTAGGCTTCGTTAACAGCCGAACCACTATAAAATCTCTCTCTCCATATCTCTTTACTTACTGCTTTATTGTTTTCATGCATAGCATATCATATCGATCAAACGCAAAATTTTCTAACGAAAGTGTGCAAAATATAACTAACGAAATATTTTGACTGTTAGGAGATGTTACATGGAAGTTATCGACAATCGACAATATATATAAAACTCCAACTTACTAAAGATATATTTGAATGATATATCAGTCATGGAAAAATATAATTTCGTAAATCATGTACAACATGTACATTTTCGTAATAAAAATGTACATTCATATATTATGAATTTCATGCAAAATGGTTGCTGGGAATGTGAGATTCCTACGAATGTTAGATTCCTATGTTTGGTTAAAATTGAGGTATGTAATATAATCATGTTTGGTTTAGAACATATATATATATATTTATTTATTTATTTATTTTATATATTTTAATAAATTTAAAAATTAAAATAAATTAATAAGATAATGGTATCATATATAATTACATGATTTTAAAATATTAACTAAAATCATGAACTTGATAAACAAAATTATTTTATATTCTAACATAACGTAATAAAATAAAAAATATATAATTACAAAAAATATATATAATATAATATAATAATATAATAATAATAATAAAATATATATTTTTAATAATTAGAATTAAAATGGCAAAATGTATAAATATCAAGGTTATCTTACATAACCTAAGAAATGTAAGGGAATCACATTCCCTTCAAAATCCTATGTGGAGAGAATGTTTGATTCGCTCCGATAATATGAACGAAATATAGGAATATTAGCTTTGGAATGTCACATTACCTTGGTTATGTTATATAACATGAACCAAACGCCCCTTAATGCAAAAAGGTTGCATTAAGTCATTAACCACGTACTGTACATATATAATTCACCCGAATATTAAGAGTTAATTACCGAAATGGTCTATTGACTATAATAAAATTACCAATTTGGTTCTTGATTATTATTTTTGACAAATTAAGTCTACAAACTTTAAAAAGCTTAACCAATTTGGTCATCCGTTTGTTTTGCTGTTAAAAATCCATTAACTTATGACCAAATTGGTAATTTCGCTATAGTCAAGGGACCATTTCAGTAATTAACTTTAGGGGTAGGCAATTTGGTTCAGTTCTTTCGAACGGAATTGTATCGAACCAAACCGTTCGGTTCGGTAATATACCGAACAACCGAACGGTAATGGATTCTTGTATACCGAATGGTTCGGTAAAAAATTAAACCGAACCGAATTGTTCAGTAAAAAACCGAACCGAACCGGTGAAACAGGTTGAGAAGGGTAGCGGAGAGCCGGACAGTCCGACGTGGTGTCTGGTAGGAAGGTTTTTGACTTCAAAAATCATCAAAGTGGAATACATGAGCCAGGTTATGGCCTCGGTATGGCAGCCAGTCAGGGGGGTTCAGGTCACTGAGATACAACCTGGCCTATTCTTGTTTATTTTTTATCACGAGACCGATATGCAGCTTGTTCTTGATGGTGGTCCGTGGTCGTTTGAAAATCACATACTGGTTTGCAAACAAGTCCAGGATGGTGTGATACCGATTACGGTACCGCTGGATACTGTTGATATGTGGGTTTAGGTCCATGAGTTTCCGTTAGGGTATACGTCAGATATGATGCTAGAGCAGGTTGGTAACTTCCTAGGGAGCTTCATTAAGATTGATGACCGATTCGCAAATGCGCCCAGGAAGACGTTCTACCGTATTAGGGTTTCCATACCGGTTACAAAGCCACTCAAACGCCGTATGAAACTCTTAAAACGTGATAAGACGACCTGTTGGGTAAGCTTTAAGTATGAAAGATTGCATAACTTCTGTTTTTTCTGTGGTATGATGGGGCACTTGCATAAGTACTCTTTGAAGGCCCGGGAAGCGGCTATTCCGTTGGATAAGTATCCCTATTCTGATGAACTTCGTGCCGGACACCGCAGGGGACCAAGAAAAGTAGGGGCGCCGTGGTTGTTGGATAAGGATGGTAAGCCAGTGCAAGTGGCGGCGACCATGGCTTCTGTACTGCCGGGAGGACCGTCTGCCACCACTACGGTGGATTCGAATTCTAGCCGGCGGGGGCTTGAGCCGTTTGTGTTGGCTTCGATGAAGAGACGTCGAGAAGGGGGGGGGGGGGGGGGGGGATGTGGTACATGTAGATGAGGGTGAGGAGGATGTTTCAATGACTGAGGTTGTTCCAAAAAACTTGTCCATGGCGGGTACTGGTTCCCAGACCCGCCCGTCATCATGAGTATCCTCAGCTGGAACTGTCGTGGCTTGGGCAATCCACGAACAGTTCGTGAAGTGAAGGACCTTGTGTCGCGTAAGAAGCCCGATTTTATTTTTTTAATGGAAACTAAGGTAGGACGGATACATGCTGAACGTATTCGTGTTGATCTTGGTTTTGATGGTCTTTTTAATATTGATAGTGTTCGATTAAAGGGAGGTCTCGCTTTGTTGTGGCGGAAGAATAACACAACAAGGCTTATTAGTTATTCTAAAAATTATATTGATATTGAGGTGACTATGACTGGTTTTCCGAAGTGGCGTATGACGTGTTATTATGGCTATTCAGAACGTAATAGGCGTACAGAGGCATGGGAGTTGTTGAAGTCACTAGCACCGCAATCAACCCTACCGTGGGTGATGGTGGGTGATTTTAATGATCTTCTTTACCAATATGAGAAAAGAAGAGGTAATCCGCATCCGAATAGTCTTCTTCGCGGGTTTGGGGAGACTATTGAGCAATGTCGTTTGTCTCAACTGCCTATGAGTGGATATCAGTTTACGTGGGAGAAGAGCAAAGGGACGCCAAATTGGATTGAGGAAAGGCTAGACAAGGTCCTAGCAACAAATGATTGGTGTAGTGTTGTGCCTGAAGCAAGAGTAGTTAATCTGTTGACAAAGGAGTCTGATCACTCACCACTCTTGTTAGAAATCCGCAATCTTGGTAGATGGGGTGAGGGAAGGAGGAGGTTTCGCTTTGAGATGGCCTAGTTACATGATGAAGGATGTAGGGATGTGGTGGAGAAATCATGGGAAGAAGGAAGGTCAGAAGGGGTCCAAGATTGCATAACACATTGTGGTAATCATTTGGTCCGATGAGGAGGTGATCGTTATCATAAGTATGGGGAGAAAATTGCACAGTTACGGAAGGACCAATTCCGTCTCAGAGGGCGCACGGACCCAGCTTCCCTAACTGAGTTCCAGCGCCTGGAGGAGGTTCTGAGTCACATGGAGATCCAGGAGGATACCTTCTGGAAACAACGGGCCAAACAACACTGGCTTAAGGATGCGGATGCCAATACAAAGTTCTACCACAGGTATGCCTCTCACCGTAAGAAAAAGAATACAATCTTTAAACTTATGAATGATAATGGGGAGTGGATGGAAGGGGAGGATATGAAAGATATTATCTTAGAGTATTTTGATGGAATCTTCAAAACAGGAAACCCTGTGAGTGATAATACTTTGTTTGATAATGTAATATCACGAGTCACCCAGACACAAAATAACTCGTTACTAAGACCCTTTGAGATGAATGAAGTTAAGGATGCTCTCTTTGCTATGTTCCCTGATAAGGCGCCTGACCCTGATGGTATGACTATGAACCCTGGATTCTATCAATACTTCTGGGATGTAGTGGGGAAGGATGTTTCGGAGTTCATAATTAATTGTCTAAATACCCGCTCTTTTCCTGATGATTTGAATAATACGGATGTGGTGTTGATACCTAAGAAAGATATCCCTAAGGTGGTCTCTGATCTTAGACCAATAGCTTTGAGCAATGTAATCTACAGAATTATGGCCAAGATGATTACCCATAGAATGAAACCTTTGATGCAGACTATTATTTCCGAGTCTCAGAGTACTTTTATACCTAGTAGATTGATCACAGATAATATACTCATAGCAGCTGACGTGGGACACTATTTGAATAGGAAGCAGTGTGCGGTTGTTGGCTGGGGTGCTCTCAAACTTGATATGGCAAAAGCCTACGACCGTATGGAATGATCCTTTCTCCATAAAATGTTACTAACTCTGGGATTTGATGGTAGATGGGTGGAATTAATTATGCTGTGTGTGACTACAGTATCATATAATTTCTTGGTTAATGGCACTCGTAGTACTCCGGTGACACCCACTCGTGGGCTAAGACAGGGGGACCCTTTATCCCCTTACTTATTCATTATTTGTGCAGAAGGGCTTTCAGTATTACTGAGCAGGCACAGATGAATGGTTTAATACATGGATGCAGAGTAGCTAGAGGTGCTCCTCCTATCTCTCATTTATTTTTTGCTGATGACAACCTTCTCTTTTTCAAAGCAAATGTGCAGGAAGCCACTGCAATTAAAGATTGTTTATCCGTATATGAGACCTTGTCTGGGCAGAAGGTCAACTACCATAAATCAAGTATTTGCTACAGTAAAAACACAGGGCAGGATGAGAGGGATATTGTGGCACAAATTTTAGAGGTAAACCCAGCTCCCAATTTTGGGAAGTATCTTGGTCTGCCCTCATTTGTGGGAAGGAATAAAAAGGCAGCATTTGCTTATATTGAAGATAAGATCAGGCAGAGAATTGGTTCATGGAACAAGAAGTTGTTATCTCAAGCTGGTAATAAGGAAATTTTATTGAAAAGTGTAGCTCAAGCCATGCCTACCTTTTCAATGAGTGTTTTCTTACTACCTACATCCGTCTGCACAGCCATTGAAAGGGTAATGAACCGCTATTGGTGGGGATCAGGAATTTACCGGGAAATTCACTAGAAGGCTTGGGATAGATTATGCATCCCGAAAAAATATGGGGGCCTGGGTTCAAGGATCTGAGGGCTTTCAATTTGGCAATGCTAAGTAAGCAGGCATTGAGGTTGCTTACTAACACTGATTCGTTGGTGTCGCGCATTTATAAGGCCAGATACTATCCTAAGGATATATTTTCTGAGGCATATCTAGGAAATAATCCCAGCTATTGCTGGCGCAGTATTATGGTAGCTAAGAATTTAATATGCAGTGGGGTAAGACGGCGAGTTGGAAATGGAAAATCTACCTTAATCTGGGAGCACCTTTGGCTACAGGATGAACAGAATCCTATGATTCAAACTGAGATGCCGCCACAGTTAGCTGGAGCAAGGGTTGAGAGGTTAATTGACCAGGATACTGGTTCATGGGACCAACATATTCTCACTGATATTTTCCTGCCAGTTGATATACCTAAAATCCTAAAAATTCGGATCTCTCCAAATTATGATGATATGTGGTATTGGTATGGGGATCTGAATTGTTGTTACTCTGTCAAGAATGGCTATAGATGCATTATTGGAAATTATGAGAATAATAATGATGGAGCATTTAACAATTGGACCACTCTATGGAAGTTAAAAATTCCACCCAAATGGAAAACCTTCCTATGGAGAGCTATTAGTGATATCCAAGTTGAGCCCATATATATGTATAAATATAAGTATTAATATTTTGTGAGCCTAAAGTGTTTAAGTCCAACCTATGTTACCCAACTCAACTTCCTAACCCAACCCATCCAAGAAGTTAACCCTACCATCTCTTGTGTGTGTGTAATGTATTGTATCCTTTCTTTTACAATCATCCGGCAGCCAAACAACTCCCATCACCCTCCCTCTCCCTCTCGGCTTTGGCGTGAACGAACAACCGGCACCCTTCCCTCCGTCCTCTTTCTTTCATTTAGGCCAAGACAAAGCCAACCCTTACCGTGACCCTTTTTCCGACAACCATCATCTCAACCTCCTCTCCTTCCTTTCCTTGCGGTTAGAAGAAGCAACACCAACCATCATCAACAACAACCACAACTCTTCTTCTCCTTTGCTTACCCTTCGGTCTCCGGCAAGCTGTAATCTCGGGCAGAGCACACCGACTTGGACAACGCAAGGCAAAGATGTGATCTTTCTCTCTGTTTTTGACGCGGCGGTGATCCGGGAAGAGCTCCGACGAAGAAGCGACGGTGATGCTCTCTTGGCTCCTCCGGTCGGCGAGCAGTCTCGGCGTGGGCAGAGCAGTGGCAGCCCCCTCTTTTCTCTTGGACGATGGAAGTCGGGCAGAGGCAGTGTGGATGGTGGATCGGCGGCGACGGAACGGAGCATGGGGCGGTGATCTTTCTCCCTTCGAGCAGAGCAACAGCACCTCCGATGAGTTCCTCCTCCGGCGTCGTGGTAGCTCCGGTGAAGCAGAGCAGACACGGGTGGTGGCAACACCCGTGTTCCACCCGCGGCCTTGCATGAAGAAACGAAGAAGAGAAGATGGTAAGCTGCTGGTCCCCTTTGGTTGATGCTGTTTAGATTAGCTTAGTTAGTTTGTTGTTAAGTAAAGTTATTAAGTTGTAGCTTTGTGTAGTGGTAAGGGGGTGTTTAGTATTAGAGGTTGTCTAGGGTTCAAATCCCATAAGATTAATAATTTAGTTTTGTTTATTAGTCTTTTTAATGCTTAGTTGTCTAGCTTAGCTTTTGCTTTAATAATTGTGATTAATTAACAATAATATGTTTAGTTTGGTTGGTTGAGCTTGTGGGTAATTAAAGAAAGATCTAGGGTTTAATTCCCCTTATGAGTATAGTTAGTTTTGTATAGTACTCATGTTAATTAGTTGGAGATCTGGTTTAATCCACAGGTTTCCGGTAGCTTGGTTTTTGTGTTGAGCCTAGCCTATGTTGGCGTTGTTTTTGAATGTTAAGCGAATGAGGTAACCCATGCTCTACAAAATCTATTTTGCTTACCTATATGATGATTTCTTAGATTCTACATGTGTTTTGCTATGAAATGTGAGTGTTTATGCATTGTCTTGTGAAAATGCATATCTAGAGTTTGTGTTTAGGGTTCTTGTATGCCATTGCTTGGCTATTCCTTTGATTCAAGTCATTTTGTTGTATTTGGTGAGATTTGGCATGTTTTGGACTTGAATTTGAGCTCGGAGTTGAAAATCCCCGAAGGGATTATTTTTGTACAGGTAGTGTACCTGCGGGCGGAACGGCGGACAGTGGCCTACCCGCCGCCCCACCCGCGGGGAACGTGGCTTGTGGGTGTTGGTACCCGCGGGTGGAACCACGGATAGGGGCCTACCCGTGGGTCCACCCGCGGGGAACATCATGGTGTTGTTTGGGGATTTGTTTCCCGTGATTTTTTTGACTCGGTATTTGGTCTTTTGACTTCCCGTTGTTCTTTTGTGGAACTATTTGAGCGTCTTCTTGATGTTTCGTATGTCTAGAACTATATGGTAGGAATCCATGTAGGTTTTGGTGTCTTGAATCGTGCTAAGTGTTCAACATTGTGTTTCGTTGAACCGTGAAGAGTCTTGTGTGTTCTTCGGAACTACTTTCGGTTTACCCGTTTGATGAGCATGCTAGTTCGGTGTTTAAATGCTAGCATGTGTGTTGTTTGTACCTTCCTATTGGTTGATGATGACTTGTGTTAATCATCGTTGTTGTTGGACTGTGATCCATTCCTTGCAGGGCCGGATTTTAGCCTGTGCAAGCTGGGCTACCGCACAGGGCCCCCAATTTTAGAGGGGCCCCAAATTTTAGAAATCCAATATTTAATTTTTACCTAGCTAGTTTAGAAATAAATATTAAAAGTTTTCAATTGAATTTAAAAGGTTTAATGAAGAGATGGTAAGAATGTGTATTTATTGTATTTTAACTTAGAGGTCAAAGGTTCGAAACTTGCATACATTAATTTTAAAATTTGTGATTTTGGTAGGGCCACATTTATTTAATAGAACAGGACCACATAAATTTAAAATACGGCCCTGATTCCTTGATTGAGTACGGTTTCATATCTTCGTTATTATCCGTTGATTGATTCCTGTTGTGGAATGGTGTGTGTGGCTGTACCTGGATTGCACGATTAGTGGTATGAGACACTAGTCACCAACGTACGGCAGTGGTCCTCGTGGTGGCCATGACGCGATTATGGAGTTTGTGACCTTTGTGTAAGGTTCACGTATTTCTTGGGTGGCATGTGTTGCCGTGTGTGTGATCGGTACCCTCGTGTACTATGAATTGGGGTGGTTTTGTTGGCGGTCGTTGGCGGATGGGGACGACGGTCCTCGGAGGGAAAAGGTTGGACTTGGTGTACAGGGGTCCTGGAGGTAAAGGTTGGAACTAGACATAAGGTTGGGGGTAGCCATAAGGTTGGAACCAGGCATAAAGAAGGCATATCAATTCGTGATGGGTGATATCATGAAGACTTGTGTAGCCGTTGTTGAGTTTCTCTATTTGTGACATGTGTTGTCACAAAGGCATGTGTTGCCTAGGCATGTGTTGCCATTGGTTGTGTCCTTATTCTCTTGAGTTGTGCATGTCGGGTGTTAATCTATTGTGTGATGATAGATTATACCTTGAGCCGTCCTTGTGAGTTGTTGTTGTCCTTTGTGGTCTTGGGATGAGTTCCCTTATCTTGTTGTGAGTTTTTGAGTCTTGTGTTGACTCCTACTCTTGGTTTTGAACTTATATATATGTATTCCGTTTCGCAAAAGGCTTTACAAATGTATATATTATCTATGTATGATATTTCACATGTATTGGTGGGTTACCAGCATTATTCGCTGATCGGGCGTCGTCCCAATTCTATTTGTTGCTTTACAGGTTGGGTAGCTTTGGAGAGCGCGCTAGTGGCCTGTAGATAGTTTAATCTCTTCCTTCAATAGTTGTTGAGGCCTGTGAGCCTAAGTAGTTGAGTTGTTAGACTGCTGTGGTTGTAGTATCTGCCTGTGCACCTATGTTTGATATAGGTGTGGCATAGCACCTTCCGGTTTGTTTAGTTACCTTCCGCCTTGTTTAATCTTAATAAATAGACTTTATCCCTTTTCTAAGCTTTAATTTGGTTTTAAAAGTTGTTGAAAATCGGGGGTGTTAAAGGCAGTCTCACGGCCACACTATTACAGCACCGCCACTGCCGAGTCACCATGCGACGAACCAAATTCCGCCACACCACATGCTGCCTCACGCCATTGCCAACCGAATATAGTAAGGCCGAGGAAGTGTTATGTGGATGCCGGGTATCACCAGGGAACAAACTCGGCTACGGTCGGGGCGGTCCTACTCGATGCCAACGATCATTTTATAGCGGCCTTCAGCGCGCCTATTCTGAGTTGTTTTTCCCCACTTATGGTCGAAGCGTTTGCATGTAAAGAGGTTCTCTCTTGGCTAAGGGCCCGAGGTGAACAATCTATACAGCTATATACGGATTGTCATACGTTACAGTGCTACCTATCCGCACCGGACAACCCATCTCGTTCATACACTGGCTATGCCATAGATAGTTGCAGAATTTATATGTATGCTTTTAATTCTTGCTCTGTTATTTTTATTCCTAGATTGCAGAACTTATTAGCCCATACCTTAGCTACTACACCTTTTATGCTTTCTGCTGCGATGTACTGGGACGATGTCCCACCTGACTCTATTTCAGTTTATCTATGAATACAACCCATTGGTTGACCTTCAAAAAAGCAAGTAAAAATTATTATTATTATTATTACCGAACAATTCGTTTGTTTTATTATTATTATTATTATTATTATTATTATTATTATTATTATTATTATTATTATTATTATAATATTTTAAAAAATCAAAACGGTATTCGGTTCGATTCAGTTTTTTTTTACCAAAAAATTCGGTTCGGTTCGGTTCGGTTCGATTATTTACCGAACCGTTCGATACACAAGAATTCATTACCGGTCGGTTGTTCGGTATGTTACCGAACCGAATTACCCACCCATAAAGTTAATTACTGAAATGGTCCCTTGACTATAGTGAATTTATCAATTTGGTCTCAATTTAACGGATGTCTAACGGCAAAATAAATGAAGGACCAAATTGGTTAAGATTTTTAAAATTGGGAGACTTAATTGGTCAAAAAAATTAGTCAAGGACCAAATTGATAATTTTACTATAGTCAAGGGACCATTTCGATAATTAACTCGAATATTAATCGGAATAACCAACTGAATGTTAAATTGCACATTGCCCAACCGATTTATTAATGTACAAAATCCATCCGAATGTACTATACGATGTTAGATCTAAATAGTCTAACTAATACTGAACAATAGTATACGAGAGATCTGACCTCGTATGAGCAGAAGCGATAGCCGTGTATCTCCAGCCATAGTTGATGTTCATGTTGTGTTGCCTCTCAACGGTAGACCGTTAGCCATGTTTTGCCTCAGACTTGACTCAGAACCCTAGATGATGTATTGGTATCTGAGCAGTCTGAGTACCGTAACTGAATGTGCTAACATCAATCATTCTGTATCCCATCAATCCAGGATTATATTAGACACAGAGTCTGGTTGACTAACAACTTCTAGTTATTCAGTCCAACCAGACCACTTAATAAGCCTAGTCAACTTACACCACTTAATTAAGGCCCTAATCTTAACTATAATAAAGCTATATGGTTTGGGAAGTAATTAATGTTACAATAATGCCACAACATCCTTTATTATAAAAAAATAAAAAATAAAAAATACACAACATTTGAAAAATAAAATAGCTATATATTATATAATCATATAAAAAATGTGTTCAATTAGAGTTTAAATTTACTCATACAAAATTTGAAATTTGCTATCCAAATGTAATTATCCTAGTTAGTATTCGTATTGTGAAAATTATAATATAGATGAAATACAATTAAGAATAAATCAATGTAATTATGTAAATTGTCTCTATAAGTTTATTTGAATATGCACATAAATAGAGATTATATTAACCATACAAAATTTTAATTTTAATTTTAATTTTAATTTTGTATTCTATAAAAATAAAAATACTTAATCAATGGAAGCTCAAAAATATTATTATATTAAACAATTTAAAATATTTTATTTTTTTTATTTTTTATTTATATTTATAATAACATAAGTTTTTTCCTGTGCATCGCGCGGGTGAATTACTAGTATATAATATACAATATATATTATTAGGGAAAATCTTACATACGAATCATACAAACCGTCTGAACCGAATTGTTGATGTGCATAAGCCATCCGAGGGCTATGTGAATGTATTCAACCCATCCGAATGCATGCATGTAAATAATACATCCGAATTCTTAAATTAGAACACAATCCATACCAATTCTTGAATTAGCACACAACCCATCCGAGTTATTACCTTTAGCCAACCGAATGTAGGCAAACCAACTCATCATCCGAATGGTTAATTTAACCTCTCGGAAATTACAATTCAAAATCAACGCCTCACGGATATTAACCTCTCGATTCTGGAATTGAGTACTTTTCGATTTCAACCGTATGTATTAATCATATTCTCCAAATAACTTTCTACTAAACTAAAATAATATTTATAACCCCAGAACTCTAAATATTATTTAATTAAATTTTCATGGTAATCCATCCAAAACATTAATCTCCATTACTATATAAATTTCTAACATTTCTCCTCCATATATATCAAGATATATAAATCCAGAACTGATGCATGAAAGTGTCTTTAATCCAACCAAGGAACTAGACCAGAACCATGCTAGAGCAATGGCAGATATTCAACGCACAAGTTTGTCTATCTCTATACAAAGTGTTCTAAAAAATCAGACAATATTCTCTGAATAGAAAATTTCTACTACTACAACTTCCATATATATTTGTATGGATATCAGTATACTAAAATATTCTCCTATATATTTTTGTGTATATACTTCAAAATTTTCCCATTTTTGTGGATTCCCCTGCGGCACTTTTGGCTAATGGTTCGAGTGCACACGAAGAACATACAAATTGCTGATGACGACGCTTATCCTTGTTGAATTTGAGGCATTTCATCAAATGGAAAGAGCTTTCGCATTCAAAACACTGTTTCCACAAGTCACCTACTATATACCCCTCATTGCATTCTCCACACACTATTTCCTTTTCTTTCCCGGACACAACTTCTAAAATTGTAGGGAGTTTATTTATCATATCGAAAAGTCGATTCCTGTAACATCAGATCAGTGAAAATTTATCAAATTACTTCATTCAATTCGATCTTTCCCTTTTCAATATAAAACAATTTTTTTAAAAAAAAAAAAAATACCTATCAGCTTTGTTATGGCCAGATCTTGAACTAAAATTGAATGCAACACGAAGTAGCCATATGTCACTATGAATTGCAACCATAGTGAGCCACTCCCTTTTCTCCATTCTTTCTTGACCAAAGTTAATGCCCCTAAGGGGTTGAGGAAGCATTGCATCCATTTCTTCTTCTGCTAAATTCACTTCCCATCGTTCCCCCGGATGTCCAATAAGGCAAAGCTTCCAATTCTGAGCTGCAATTACAACCCCAAACTTAACACATTTCAATTCTTAATTTCCATGCATGCATGCATTATAATATATATATATATATATATATATATATATATATATATATATATATATATATATATATTGAAGGAATTACCGATCATATGCAAATCTGAAGAGCCAAATTACTAAAACATATAATCAAGAACGTGAATGTTTGTTCATCAAGAAAAGAAAAGATTATTTCAAAGAACATAGCATGAACAAGAAGAGAAAAAGAAAGCTTTACCTGGAGTGTTACACTGCCTATAAACTTCATCAAAATCTGGAAAAATGCATGAAGAAAAACCCCATTCAATTCCTTTATTAAGTGGTAGAATGAATTGAAATGAAGTAATAATGGTCTCTTTTGATTTAAGTAATACGTACCCTTAGTGAGAGCTGTGAGTAAGGCAGTCCTTCGACCCTTGAATTCTTTGAAAACTTCTTCCACGCTTCTTGGATTATAATGCTCCATTGCCCCCTACCGCTTCTGATCTGTTTGGGTGTTTATATATAGAAACGTATAAAATACGAGAGAGAGAGAGAGAGAGAGAGAGTTTAAAAAAAGAGATTGAATTAAAGAGAAGTGTTTTGGGAGGGAAATAGAAAATTTAACCTTATAACAGATAGAGGATCAGAGCACCTGCATGGAGATGGAGGGAGAGAGAGACTTTAATTTGAGATTATATATTTATATTGTGCGGGGTTGCTAGTGGTACGTAGGGAAATCTATTATAATTATCTTTATTGCTCAAAAAATTTTAAACGTTTTTTCTTGATATTTTGTAAATATATTATCAAGTAATTATGAAACGTTTATATTTTTTTCTTGATATTTTGTTAATTGAAGGTACAAAGTTTTTGTATCATGTTCACAATGCAATATTAATCCTAGTCCATGGTATAACAATTGTTACTGTGGACCATGGTCTATGTAGGAGCGTGGATCATGAATTATGTATCATTTTAATTACACTTAGTTTCATTTGATAATATTGCTATATTTTTTAGTTTTATTTTCCCCTCACACTAGTTTCACTATAGCAATAGTAAAATATAATTTTAATTCTATTATTTTTTTTGAACGAAATTTTAATTCTACTATAGTTTCGTTTGATGATAATATATATTATTGCTTGAGCTCAATTTTTTGTATCATTTTCCACTTACACTAGTTTAATTATATATAGTAAGAGTTAATTCCACCAGAGGTTATTTGTCTTTGATGACAATTCCAAATTTAGTCCCAAACTATCACTTTGACCATTTAACATCCCAGACTATTAATTTTTACTTTTTAGACACTTTTAGTACTTCTCATGACTTTTCTTATTTTTAGTAAGAGCATTTTTTTCTTTTGTTATTTTTTTCGGTTTCAACCGGTTTAGGACGGTAGGTAATCTATGATTTTTAGTAAACATATTTTTCAATCGATTTTTTAGTAAAGTCCTCAACCTATTAAACCGGTTGAAACCGAAAAAATAACAAAAGAAAAATATGAAGAGACAAAAATGACCTTACTAATAATAGGAAAAGTCCTGAGAAAGACTAAAAATGTACAACAAATAATAGTCTGGGATGTTATATGACAAAAATAATAGTCTGGAACTAAATTTGGAATTGCTACCAAAAACAAGGGACCTCTAGTGGAATTAACTCTTATAGTAATGTCGAAGTATTATTTTAATTGCACTTCAGGTCATTTGACAATATATGTATTGCATGGCTCTAGATTTATTTTTATTTTCCACGCACACTAGTTTCATTATAGTAATACTAAATTATCATTTTAATTATACTACAGTTTTATTTGACAATAATGTGCTCTATTTTGTTTTGTTTCATTTTCTACACACACTAATTAAGCTATTTTTTTTTTTTTTTTTTTTGAAAATAATTAAGCTAGTTTAATGATACTAACACTAAAGTATCATTTTAATTCTACTACAGTTTCATTCAAGAATCATGGTTCACACAGTGATGTGTGGACCATAGTCCATTGTATAACAATTGATTTAGAGCAATGTCAATCAAGTTTGTAGGATTGTTAACTTGGTAACCACAAAATTTTAAGTTTAATTCTCACCAAGAGTGGCCTATTGATCTTTTAACCGTGAGACTATTACTTTGGGGACAAAAAACATATCGAAACTATGTCATTTGTTTATTATTTAGAAGAGATCAGATAGAGTTGTGATTGGTTACATAGAGCTGGGAGAAGGTTAAAATTCAAATTATGTATAGGTAGATAATATATTATGGGGTACATATCTTCAATTAATAAATTATATACTTTCAACTCATAAAATGTGTATATAATACAATTAACACATTATGTACCGTCAATTCATTGACATGTACATACTATGTTAACTGAATATACATATTTTAAATTTCATTTTGGACCATAGTCTACACTGTAAGGTAGACTCTGATCCATGATATAATTTGCTATGAAAAATCAATTGGGTATGATGGAATAATTACAAATGGACCCGGAGCGGGACAACATGTAGCGGACCAAGTTCGGAGCACTGGACCCGGACCTGGCCGACTCGGATAGCCAAGCTCCGCGCTTGGCCACGGGGTCGGCCAAAGCAGACCGCCTCGGTCGAGGTTAGCCACCCTGTCTAGGGTCAGCCACCCGAGTGACGAGGTCCTCGCGTTGTCTGAGTCTTGCGGCGTCGGTTGCGGTCCTAGGCTGTTGAGACCCCCCCCCCCCCCCACCTCACACACACTCATTCATGTTCTATTGAGACATAACATACCTATTATCCATAATCTTGCCTTGTTATTACATAACAAGCATATTATCCATAACTGTAACACCCCACTTTTCTTAAACCTTATTAACAGATATGATTCTTAAAAAGGATTACTAATATCATAAAGAAAGCTGCTAAACATCATTAAGATGTGTTACCGCCACAATCACCATACATGGTGGTTGCACATGCAAAAAAGGATCTAAACATTATTAACTTACTAATATAGAAAATAAACTTGGGGAATGAAACCCTGGTGTATTCAACACCAACAAAAGGATAAGTCTACAACCATAACCTCAAAAAAAATAACAAAAAGGAATAGAGTTTAGACTACAACTAGCTCACTACGCTAATCTAGTCTAACTCGGTCGCTCTCATGAACTGGGCCCACCTGAAAGGGGTTAACAAACAACAAGTAGAAAAACAACCCGTTAGCACGAAGCTAAGTATACCACCACTCAACCATGTAAAGTACTACAATATATACTTTTGAAAAAAAACAAGTTTCACATACTTAGATCAAGTCTTCTCAATCACTTAATCAATAAATACACTTGTTCAACTGACTTTCTATATGCTTGCAACCTAGTTATCAAATAGGTATACTTTCTCACTTACTTAGCTTATTAGTAAAATCATGCTTGCACAAATACTTATCTTATCATGGCGATATAGACTAATCTTACTCAATCTGTTTGATAGTTAATCAAATACTTAAGCTTATTTAAGCAATCTCATGCTAACATATATCTCAATAAGCAAACTCATGATATCATATAACTCACTAAGCAATCTCATGCTATCATATAACTCCATAAGCAAACTCATGCTATCATATAACACAATAAGCACTCTCGTGCCATCATATAACTCAATAAGCAAACTCATGCTAACATATAACTCAATAAACAATCTCATGCTATCATATAATTCAATAGGCAATCTCATGCTATCATATATCTCAATAAGCAATCTCATGCTATCATATAACTCAATAATATCATACTTCTTATACTACTAGCATGCAACACGTGCAAAACATTTAATCATGCAATAAGATGAACATGATGCTTAGTATTAGTATAGATAGATATACATATACACTCTTTCTTTGATAACAAGGAGTACTTGCTCAACCGAGGTTTCTTAGAGTCACAATAACTCGTTTTTCTCTTCTTTCTTTAGAGTCACATTGACTCGCTCTCTTTCTTTCTTTAGAGTCTCATTGACTTGCTTTCTTTCTTTCTTTAGAGTCTCATTGACTCGCTTTCTTTCTTTCTTTAGAGTCTCATTGACTCGCTTTCTCTCTGTACTTTTACTCGTGGGTGAGGTAGGAACTTCACCATGATGTGAATGGAACCTATCTAGGCTCGGTATCTAACCGGCCTAATACTCATCTCGTTCACAGAACCACTCTCTTGATTCTTATCTCAAACTCTGTGGAATCAGGTATCGAACTATCAGTGTGCACACCCCCTGACCAGGATTCCAAGCCTGGCGAGAAGTTTCCAACCTAGTAACTCAGAAATATCGACCTCATTACTTCACAAAGGATCACAATGTCTATTTCTTTCTTTACTTTCTCCTTTCTTCCGAAAGGACATAGTCCTAATGGGCCTCCAAAACATCGGATTACTCACACTAAATATATATAGATATATCTCATGCATTTCTCTCTTATGCAACAATTCTATTTATGCAATCTCATGCACACAATTTCACAATTACTTCTCTTTTCTTGCAAATTTGAAATCAAATATCATGCAACTTCTCAATGTAACTAGAAGATGATTTTCCATAATATATATAAGTTTTTGGAAAGGACATTTAGGCTTACTTAGAGCCACCTATGCACTTTAATTCATGATATGCCAAACATGCCCTTTACGATATAAAATATCTCAAATTCCCTTTGATTACAAGTCAAGTAAACATTATGTTATTTCATGCTCATCACTTAAACACTTAGCAAAACATCTTATCAAACATTCATCAAACATTAAACATGCTCTTTAAACTCATAAAACACTTCATCTTTAATATTTGAACTTCATTGTAAAACAAGGTTCATGTACTGTACATACTCCAACTTCAAATACTTGGCAAAATTCTTAATAACCCTTTAATGGATATTTAGACATGCTATTCAAGCACAATTTAACATTTATGATCATACTTCTCAAACTAACAACCAAACAATTATCAAGCTTCTCATTCAAATAACTAAAACCAAATACTTCACATTTTCTATCACTGTAAATGTTCTCAGACAACTTCTATGGTTTAGTTCAACAAACTTTCTATTATAAAATACTCAATTCTACTCCAAATTTAATGAAGTCAAATTCTACTAGTGCGTTGTGACAATCCCAAGTGTCCGAGCCTCAAGGACTTGCGAGTCCCGGTCTGAAACAACATGTAGCTGAGCCACAAAGGGCCCGACCACTGCACTGGAGTGGCCTAACGGTACATATGGTGGGGCTTGAATAGCCCCGCTGCCTAGAACCGCTAAGCGGCGGGCTAGGGTCACGGCTCTAGCCAAGAGTCGTGTCCTAGGGCCGCCTCTTCACAGAGCTTGCCAACGGTCCCTGCCTAGGGCCGTTGACTAGTTCCGTGATTTTATCTGGTGCACACTGCCTGTGCACCAGATAGTTCATCTTTCATCTGTTTTGCATTTTCTAACATTCTAACACCCCCAAATCTTCAA